ATTACTAAGATATCCGACCGACAACTAAAATCCGATCACTTGAATGTTGTTCAGGGTCACACTTTACATAACATTTGAGATCAAGGTCATTAGAGTTGTTTCCATTATTTTTATTTTTGCACTAAAAACTCGTTTTTATGTTCAAGATGAAGAAACAATCTCCAATGGTCCGAAATTCGCAAATCAAAATATCACAGGAAAAAAGTTTTTGAAAAATTAAGGTAATTATTCGGATTAATGAACACTGCGCTGATGATTTTGACCTCGACATATATTGTTAAGGTCATGTCAATGAGTGTCAAAAGGTTTTAGATGGCGGTCATTGTTCGCTTGAAAATTATCAACAAATAAAGTTCAAGAAAAATATCTTATTTCTACCATACACAATATTAAAAACTATTCTATACTCATCGTACCTAGAGGCGTTTGACTTTCTCTACAAAGAGAGATTCGCGAAGAGAAGTCCATTCTCACCTCCCCTCTACTTAGGGGCGTACAACTTTCCACGTAAAACGAAGCCAACCTCAACTCTCCTTCAGAAAAGGAACGACCGACTTTCTCTTAGACAAGGGGAGGAGATGGAGTGGACCTTGCTGTGGAAAACGCCTCATGATAGAGAGAAGATGGAAGTCGTTTCACATGAAAAGTTTTACGCCCCGAGGCAGAGGAGGAAATAGGATTGAAATCGTTTCACTTGGAAAATCGTACACTTCGAGACAGAGGAGAAGGTGAAATAGAACTCGCTTTACGTGAAAAATCATACGACCCTAAATAGAAGTGGAAGTAGGGTGGACCTCCTCCCTTCGCGTGGAAAATCGTATGCCTATCAACAAGGTTGGCCATTGTAACGTCAAACTAAGTAACTGAAATCATTATTGTTATCCCAAAAATGTATATGTGTAATGATATATGTAATTCGTTATCCCAATAATGTAATTGCGTCACCATAAACGTATACTCAGATGAAAATGTAACATCATGTTACCCATTCGTTAACGAAAAAAAGTAATGTGGTGACGCAATTACATTATTGGGATAACGAAAATGATTTTAGTTACTATTATCGTTACTTTATTTCTAACTACGTAAAAGTTTAGTGGTAACTACAGTCTTAGAAAACAGAGAAACATTAACGGTCCGATTGGCTGTCTAAATCACGCGATCACAACGTCTTTTTTTCATTATATTTCACACGTATAGACTAATTCTTTATGTATAGCACGTGATAATGAGATCACATGAAATTGTACGCAATAATACAATAAATGTCCTTGTGACCGAAATCGGAGAAGTACCTCCCAGGCCAGCAGGAGCGAAAGCCAAAGGTCCTCCATCTGGAGAGAAAGGAAGAGAAGGTCTCCTCCCGAGTGAAAGAGAACGAGAGAACTCCAACACTCGCAAGTACCCTGGAAGCAGATCTCTGGAAAGAAAGGAGAGAAAGAAGATCTCGCAAAACACCCCGGTACCAAAGCAAAGGAAGAAAGCCCCAGCTAAAACGCAGAACAGGACGGTTAACGTAACGAAAAGACCGCCACGCACTGCCGTGGTACAAATATCCAACAGCGACGACATGAGTTACGCGGAGATACTCCGCACCGCGCGAGAGAGAATCAATGTCGCGGAAATCAGCATTGAGGAGATCCCACGAAAAGCCCATACGGGAGCATTCTTGTTGGAGATACCGGGCCTCGTAGGGGCGGCTCAGGCGGACTCATTAGCTACTAAGCTACGGGAGGTACTGGCCGACAAGGATGGAGTTCGCATTTCCCGACCCGTTAAAACGGCCGAAATAAGAGTGAGGGACATTGAAGACTCAGTATCCCAACAGAAGGTAGCCAGCGTAGTAGCCCGAGAAGGTGGCTGCGACGCCGGAGACATAAAAGTGAGTCCTATCAAAAGAGCCTCGAATGAACTGGGTCCAATCCTCCTATATAGTATGGGCCAAATGCCCCTTAGTGGCAGCTATCAAGATTGCACGGCTAAGGAGGATTAGAATGGGATGGACGTCCACGAGAATCGATTTTCTGCCGGATCGGCCTCTACAATGTTACAGGTGCCTGGAAAAAGAGCACGAAAAAAAGAGATGGACAGGACTTTCAGCTGCTATCGATGCGGATCGAATGGACACAGAGTCACTGAATGTGACGGATGGGTCAACTGCCCACTATGTGCAGACGCTGGTCTACCATCGAGTCATAAGATTGGGGAGAAGACATGTAATCCCCCAAAAAGGAGAGGCAAAGTCCCTTTTAGCATCACGGTCCTGAGGCTAAGAAGGCACGAGGAAAGAATGGAGATGGACACGGGAGGCGCCGCTCCTACAAAGGGACAGTGCCCTTACGGACAAACTCAGGGGAACGCAAGGGCCATACCATCAAAGGTGCCTGCGCATGGGGATCCCCTCGCGTCCAGCAACGGCAATATCAAGCCCACAGGACCCGAAACCGAAAAGCCCGTGGAAGGAAGTAAATCTCAAACTGGACAGTCCCACAGCCCGCAGACCATGGTGTGAATGGCGCAAGCAGAAGATGAACGGGAAGACCCGGTAAATTGGGAAAGTATCTCGGGAAGAGAGACCTGGAAAAACGATAATGCCTAATAGGCTGCTCCAGGTGAACCTCAACCATGCCCGCGTCGCGCAGGACTTAATCCTGCAAACGAATTCCTGGCGGAACGTGACTGCGGATTGGCCATTATCTCAGAACCATACAGAGTTCCAGTGAATCACTCGCACTGAACCGGAGACAAATTGTTCAGTGGCCATAACCTGGAGACAGACGAGGGAGTCCCTACCCCAATAAAAGCTAGTGAGGGGTACGTGGCCGTGAAATGGGGAGATATGTATATAATCTTACATATCCCCGAGCTTCGACGTCGCCCGGTTCGAGGAAAGCCTTGAGCTGGAGACATGCCTGGGCAGACTATCCGGCGAACCAACTATCCTCGCTGGAGATTTCAATGCAAAGTCCTCGCTCTGGGGTTCCGCCTGTATCGATGCGAAAGGAAGAATCCTCGAAGAAGGGGCGACAGCGATAGAGCTCTACTAAACTAGGCCGCAAAGATGGAGCCTCAAACAACGGACGAGGGCTTACTAGAAACGGCGGTCCTTGCCGGACTCTGGATCACAATCGGCGCGGAGAAAGACCCGGTCGGACAGGCGGTGGAAACTCAGAGCATTCTGGTTCGAGAGTATGACATGACAATGCCCAGGACCATGACCCATGCCCACTCAATGACCCAGGAAGGCAATGTACTGGTGGAGCGACTCTATCGCGACAATAAGACACGCTGCCATGCGGGCCAGGAGAAGAATTAAGAGGGTGTGAAGAGGTCGAAGCGATGGAGGCCAGAGTGGAATACTATAGGCAAGCCAAGAAAGAGCTCCGAGTGGCCATTAACAAGGCCAAGGATAAGTCGTGGAAAGAACTGGTCCTATCTCTGGACGAGAATCCATGGGGCCTACTTTACCTACAGGTGCGGAACAAGCTGAAGGGATGGACACCATCACGGACAGAGACCTTAAAGCCGTCTCTCTTGAAGGAGGTCCTGGTGACCCTCTTTCCATCGCTCGGTGACGAGGCTCACAATTGGGTCGAGGCTCTACCGTATAACGGATACGGATTCTGGAAAAAAAATCTTGAGGCCTCCGAAGAAGAGCTAAAAGGTGCCATCAAGAAGATGATGTCTCGAAATGCAGCTCCCGGACCGAGCGGAGTCTACAGCAGAATTTGGGTGATCGCGGCCTGCAGAGCTGGCTTTAGAGAGAGTCTCAGAGGGACATTTACAGAATGCCTAAAACAAGGCGTTTTCCTGAAAATCTGGAAAAGGACTAAACTGGTCCTACTGAGGAAGGAGGGCAAACCGGAGGATAGCCTCTTTGAGGTATCGCCCAATCTGTCTGCTCGACGACGAGGCTAAGCTCCTTGAAAGAATCGTAGCCATGAGAGTCGTACAGCATCTAGATAGAAGGGGCCCGAATCTGCATGTCGAGCAATTTGGATTCCGCCCGGGGCGCAGCACTTGATGCTATCCTCCGAGTATGATCCATAGAGGAGACGGTCTCCGGGGGTGGTGTTGGATGTTGCTGGATATCTCGAACGCATTCAACTCCCTCCCTTGGGACCGCATTGGTAGGGCACTCGAAACTCATCGAATATTTCGATATCTGCGCAGGATCCTCCGGAACTACTTAGATGACAGGGAGCTGGAGTTCATGGATGCCAATGGAAATCTCATCTGAAGAATGGTAACCAGGAGAGTGCCACAGGGGTCGATCCTGGATCCACTTTTGTGGAACCTAGGATATGACCAAGTGCTGAGGCAGGCGGAGCTCCCCCAGGATTGTCGGGTCATCTGCTACGCGGTGACACCATGGTGCTTGCACCAGAAAGGGACTGGAGGGAGGCTTGCATCAACGCGAGGCGGTGAACAGCATGGTGCAGGAAACAAGCACTGGATCTCCGGGTGGCTCCTCAGAAATCCGAGGCCATCTTTTTCCACGAAGGGAAATATGGAAGAATGCCGAAAACCAGCGGTGGCTGGAGTGTCGATACCGGTAAAGACCAGCATCAAATATCTTGGACTGCTAATCGATTCGAGATGGAACTTCCAGGAACACTTCCATCAGCTGGCATCGAGACTCGAACGCATGGCGATGAGCCTGAGCGGACTCCTCCCCAATGCGGTCCGGGAGGAAAAGTCCGCAGACTCTTTAATAACGTGGTCCACTCTACGCGGCGCCTGTGTGGGCGGAAGAGGCAAGGAAAGGCAAGACCATCCAGAGGATACTGCACACCTCACAGAGAAGACTGACCACAAGAACGATATGGGCCTATAGAACCATCTCCTTTGTGCGACTACATTGGCCGGGGTTCCCCCCTAGAATTAATCGCTGACATATACGCGGAGGTGTTTGACAGCGTCAGGGAGGTACAGAGCCGGGAAGGAATTACCCAGGCGAAAGTCGTCAATCTGAACAACATCGGGCACGCCTGAAGTTGATGAACTCATGGAGAGAGTGGCTCACAAAATCGAGCCATTCGGGCGAGGAGATCGTAAATGCAATACGGCCCCGTGTGCAGAATTGGGTGGACGCCAGAGACGGGATTTCCTTCCGTACGGCGCAGATACTATCGGGCCATGGATGCTTCGGTCGATATCTGTACCATATTGGAAGAGAAAACACAAGTAGATGCTGGCATTGCGACGCGCACACAGATACGTCGAGACACACGCTGGAGGAGTGCCCGGCGTGGAATCGACAGAGAAGGCAGCTGATCGAGGCTGTTGGACGCGATCTGATTCTTCGAGCAATAGTCGAGGCCATGCTGAGTTCCGAAGAAAAGAGGGGGGCCATCTTCACATTTTGTGAAGAGGTCATAGCCCGGAAGGAGGACAATGAGAGAGCGCGTCGAAGAGAAGGTCGACATACGCTCAGCAGCTGGATGTAGGAGAGCGATCGACATCCTTGTGGAGGGAATTCAAGCTACGGCCGGGATTGGGAAAGGGGGATGCGAGGGCGGGGGTACGTTAGGGATTCTCCGATCGCTCTCCCACCCACCTCCTTACGTGATCGCGCATTTGCCCGCTTCAGGGGCCTATGTGCGGAGCATTTCGTGTCCACCTGAGATAGATTGGTTCCCGAAGGGGCCGGGCGTGGCGCCTGCGTCCCGTACGGCTTCCTCGGGGACGCCCGAAGGGCTGTGGGGCGTCGAGCGGACGATTCGATGCCTCGCTGCAACAGCCCGACGGGAAGACGACAGGGGGCGGTAGCGTCCCCTGCTGCCGACAATGGGAACGAACAGCGCAGCATGGCGCATAGCGCGGCATGGCGCTGACGGGCGGCTTGTGCCAGGCCGGTTGTATTGCAGATGCGAAGAACCCGGCCTGGCACAAATTCATCGCCCTGAGTTCGGACGCTCGCATTGGTTTGGGTAGGTTCCCGATATGCTGGCGTGTACTGGTATTGTTGGTGCGCGCTGGCGGAGAAGTCCCACATAACCCCGTCCCTTCCCCGGGGGATATGCATGAGCATTCCACTGCGTTAACAAAAAAAAAAAAGTTTGAATCTTGAAACGGATCAAGATTTTTCAATCGGATAGTTCTTATCATCTCGAACGAAACTCTATGCGACTATTTAATGTAAGTATGAGTAATAAGAATAATCTTTACAATATATTTACTTTTTTTAAATAAAATTTTTTCTGTGTCATATCTCACAAATTAAATATATGTGTATAATGCAGATTACAATTACTATTTTTTTTTTACAATATTATAATATAATTTTACCTTTGAATGTTATTCACGATGAGTCATCTGTTTCTTTTCTTCGAAATACTGCACCTGACTAAATAATTCTTTCTATCCCTTCCTTCTTTTTAAACATACAACTTTATAAATGTTTTTTAAAGATGTTAAAATATATATAAAAATCTATTCATAATTTTTGTATATTATTTAAAATTATGGAAATTAACTTACACACAAACGCATCATGCACAGTAAAAGAAAATTATATATGTATTAAAGACTTCCGGTTTGAGCAGGTGAGTGGAATACACGCGTGCTTTGGAGCGCGGAAGCTTTTCTTAATTTTTGAGAGGATACTGTAGAGAATCTCCCTTCGGGGTTTGTCTTATAGCAGACGCGAGTCTTTAAAATCGAGAGCTGGCCAAAAAAACAGCTCGCGAAGTACATCTGACGCGAGCTGAATAAAAACAAAAGGAACGAGGAAACATAACCTTAATCCAGCCAGCTGCCTGTACTATCCGTCAAGCTGAAGGGCAGGAGGTTCGTCTGTCTGAGGAGGGGGATAGGAATCCGAAGAAAATCCTCTGGAACATCGGTTTCACACATCTCCGAACATCTGGAGATCCAAGGTAACAAACACCGGCTGCCATCCCGAATTTTAGCTTGATATCGAAGTAAGAGGCAGCGTTAGAGAGCACGTGCGAAAGTACGGTCTTCTGCGCAAACGCGGGAGGAAGTGAAAATTGACCAGTGCCGTGCATCAAAACTGGTGTAACCAGGAGAGAGAGAGAGAGAGAGAGAGGTTAGTCAAAATAGCGACAAAGAGAATAATTGAAAAGACTGGTGCGCGAGGCGGACGGGAAGAGGGAATGAGTGAGAGGAAGGAGGACAAAGTAGGAAAAGAAGAGGAATTCCTAGCGCCGCTGGAAGTGGAAAGCAATAGAGTCAAGAAGTGGATTGAAGGAGGCGACAAGTGGGGACAAGGCTTTGAAGAGGGGAACAGAGTTGACGCGAAGCAAGAGAGAGGGACGGAGAAAAGAAAACCGGGAAGACCTACGAAGGCAGAGAGTCTCGGGAAAAGTAGAAAGGACAGCACGAGTAGCATTATATCGCTGCTATCGAAGAGAGGAAGAACGAGTGACTCTGACAGTGGGAAGGAAGACGACAGTGGAACAACGCAGAGTGTGAAGCGAGTGAAAGAAAGCCAGTCGAGACAAGCCGTTATTGGTGACGGTTTGAAT